CATAGTAAGGTAGTGTAGTGGTTGTTATCGATAGCCGGTACTTACCAGAAGGACCTGAATATCTGGTAGTACCGGGTATTTATTTTGTATGATATTTTTGTGATTAATAACCTATGCTTTGTACTAACTGTGTACTAAAAATTATTTCAAGACTAAGTCGATAACATTTCGATAAAGGAGTACAGGGCATTATAAGTTGGTTTTTATTATTATTCATTGTTTTTTTTAATTTTTCTAATATTTATTTAGTATTATATGTTAGAGATTAATATCCTATACTTTTTACTAACAAAAATGACTTCAAAACTAAGTCGATAACACACCGATAACTGAGTACCGGGTATGAGTAGCTACTTTTTATTATTTTTCATAACTTTAATATTTTTTTTGAAGTATTTTTAATTTTGTATTATTTTATTAGTTATGATTTCTACTCGATACTCTGTAGTTACCAAAAATAACTTTAAATATAAAGTCGATAAATGAGTTTCCTTGGTATAAGTAGCTGCTTATTATTATTTTATATTATTTTATTATTTATTTAGTATTATTTATTATTATTTTTGATTGTTATTTATAATTTTCTTCATTTCATGTTGATGTTGTAGCGTAAGGATGCATTGGAGAAGATAGTCAAGCGGCTTTAATTTCAAATTCAAACTCATCAAAATCAAAAAATAACTCATGATAACATTCCAAACTGACTTGCATCGCATGCATTGCATCTAGTCCCCAAATAACCATAACCAAGTATTTTGCAAATGTGCCAAAGGAAATAACAACCAAAATTAGTACCTAAATCAAAAAAAAAAAAAAAAAAAAAAAAAAAAGAATCAACTTTGACATCAAAAAAATACCGGCTGGTCCCTCAGGGAACTTTCATCTTAAGAACGCAAAATTTTTTTTTTTATTTATGCCGCGGATAAAGCATATCATAATTATTATTTTTTTTATTTTTGGATTAACATAATAATATATTATATAAATATGTGCGTTTAATAAATTCCCTGAGCAAAAAAAAATCAAAAACCTTTTAGTTTTTTAGAACTGCAATTTTCATTCTCATATCCCTTGTGGTTTATTTCGCGATTTGGAACAAAAGTTCCATCGTGTTCTTCAGCTTTAACCACAAAGGCCAAGTTCTCGAGTTTGGGGAAAAGTTTTTCGGTTGGAAAACTTGTGTCTTTGGGCTAATTGTTTGCACATTTCCGAAGACTGGCCGACCACCCCATGCACCACCCCGCTCGTTGGTACAATTGAGTTCTTTTGGGTGTCGAAAAGTTTGGGACATTCTCTTTGTGGAATTTAAAATTTCTCATCGGTCAAGGCTGTGCGTGGGCAGTGAATTTTTGGTTGAATTTCGGTTGCAACTCAAGCAGAAGTTGAATGCAATTCGGAAAGGACCTCTCTCGGTCCGGCCAAACACATGCAAAATGCATCCAAACGTCACAAACAGACAAATGATATACGGGTGAGATTGTTGTTCTAACTGTGACTAACGAACTGTGAAATCAAGGATAACTACACTTGGCTTATTAAGTTTGTATATTAAATATTATTAAATTTAAAAAAATATATATTTTAATTAAGTTTATAAAATGAAAGAAGCTAAAAGTTTTATGTATGTAGTGAAGAAAGGATACTAATAAAAATATGAATAAAATTCAAAGGTATCGGGTATCATATAGTTAAGGAAAATCTTTCTATAAATAGTTCCAAAATGAAGACACCTCGTTCCTTTAAAGAGTGGAATCTAGAATAAATTAAGCCCACTTCTAGATAGAAACCTTAAACCTAGAACCCTAATTAAAATAATAATTAAAGACTCTTTTAGAAAAAAAAAGCCAACTGAAATAAAATATCCAGTATCAGGCAATTAAATGGCCTGATTTTTTGTTATTATATTCAGTTTTCAGTTTGTGCCACAAAAAAAATGGGAAAAAAAAACTAAATCACTACGTGCCGTGTGCATATCCTGCGTTAATGTCCTGTGGCGGGGCGTGAGGCTCAGGATGCTGGGGCACAAAAAAAAAAAAAAAAAAAGAAGGAAAGATGGGGGAAGAACGAGTGGACCGCAACATGGCCATTTGATTATCATGCATATTCATTCATGGCCCTTTAGTTGGTCACTTGCCACATGTGGCAAGCGGCAGCCAGCAGCAGGAATGTGGCATATAAATTATGTAACAGCCACTGTTTGGGGCATGGGGCATAAAAGTGCCATTGAAAGAGGTGAGAAACGGCATGGAAGAATTTTCCGATCAAATAGAGGAATTTTCCGGGAAAAAAGTTCGAAACTGATTCGGAAATTCATCTTTAGAGTTTCTCAGTTCTCGTTTCTTGTTATTGCTTTTCTGGGGGGCATTGTTTTGTTGTTGTTTTTTTGGATGGTGTTGGTGTTGTTAAATTTTTTATTGCCAACGAAATATTTACGTGCAACGAAGACAGCCAACGAAGGGGGCCAGGACACTTGAAAAAAATATCTAAGGGGATATCTAACAAACTAAGAGACTTGAAGTTGAAGTTGCTGAAGCTTCTTACTTATTTATAATTATTCAAATTTTTATTTTCTAGGTATTTTTATAGTCTATGTACTATTTTCTTCCAGTGTATAAACCCATAGCATCCTGTACTCTGTACCACTGCCTGCGCTTTGTTTCGTTTTGTTTGCATTTGTTTGATTTATGCGTAAACTTTTTGTTGCCGCTTTTATGTACGAATTGTATTTTGTGAGCCAAACCCACCCTAGCACCCACTCACCCACACACATACACATAACACAGTAGTAGCACACATAAAGGTCCTGCCCAGCTATTCATTGGCATGCAAATATAACGCATACGCAGTGTATGACAATTCCGAGAGGACCACACAACTGGCAATCCGCCTGTTTGGCGGAAAATGTTATTTACTTTTTGGCTCTCGCTCTTGCCTTAATTGATTGCAAAAAGGGGAGGGGCTACAGGACGTTGTAATCCATTTACAGGAGCTGCGGTCAGACGGCCACGAGTATCCAGTCAAGACCACCGCCCACCAGCAATTCAAATTAAACAATAAAATGCCGAAACCGAAAACATTTTGCGGTTTCAGCTTCCTTCATGGAATTAAAGGGGGGGTTGCTATGTACAAGGATGGCGCTGCCTTAAAATGTTAACTTGAAAATCTATTATAAACTTTATGCATTAAATATTTTTGATTAAATCGGTCGAGTCGAGTCAGGAAGGAGGTCCTTCCTCAAACATTTTCAAATTAGAAAGTTTCTTGCGGAAGAAAGAAAAAAAAAAAAAAAGAAACCGGATAAAGTTACAAAATTTGTCCAGGACTACCAGGACTAAGGATTCTAGAGCCAGATCTGACTTGGCTTGGCTTCAAAGTCAGTGTCTTCATTTATTTCGTGTCAGAAACTTTGGAAACAACACTGCGACACTTGCACTGAGAATAATCCTCTCAAATTATATTTCCACAAGGATATGGATACAAGGATCTACAAGGATATAACCGGATAGTGGAATTTCTTTTCTCATAGTGTTTGCATTCCTGGCACTACATATTACATCGCTCAGGAAGTTGAAAGATAATTGGAATGACACCTAGAACGATAAACCGCTGTCGTGGAATGCACCGGCAAGGATAAACCGGTATAGGGATATGCAAATAGAGTCCTTTTTACATTTGATTCCCCCTCCCCCCGCCACCCATGCATTCTATTGTTGCATTGACTTAATGGATAAGTTAACGTTGAATGTTAATTAAATGTAAGAATGTCGGTCGGGACTAAGCCAAGCAAGGACCTTTAAAAATTTAAATGCCAGAGAAAGCTTTAACGCCATGAGACTGCTGTCACAGGACACCAAAAGAGTGTCCTTGTTCTCGCCTCGGCACTTCCTTTTCGGACATTTTCATTGCGGTCCATTTATTTTCTGTCTTTTTTTTTGTGTCCTGCACCCGCATGTGGTGACTGGTAAGCCCACTTGGCTTGGTCCTGCATCTGGCTGGGCCTCGTCCTCTTGTCCTGGCAGGACATACACATACAGGCCATCGAAATGCAATTTCCAGAAAGAGAGAGAGCAGAACCGGAAAGGCAAAAACGAAGGATACCCTCTAAAGGGGAATCCCCCAGCTGTCCGGTTGTCCGCTTGTCCGTTGATGTCCTTTCCTGGCCGCAGCGATAATCGGATTTCCCAACCAACCAACCATCCAGTCGTCCTCCATTAAGCCTCTCTTCCTGGCTCCTTAAGTTTGCAAAAATAAAAGCGGCTTTTCAATCTTGAATATTTTTAAATCTTAAAACCTCTTTTTTTTGCATTTAGATATATATTTTAATGATTTAGGGTTTAGGAAAGAGCTTAATTTTTAGAGAAAAAATGAAATAAAATATTTCAAACAATTTCGAACTCCACACTCTCATTCTGGCACCAAAATAAAGCTTTTTGGTATATCTTTTGTCTAAAATATCTATATATTTTATATATTTCTACTTTAGGACTTTAAAAATGCAAAATTTTGTATCAAAAAAGCTTAAATTTTTAGAGAAAAAATAATGAAATAAAATATTTCAAACAATTTCAAACTCTACACTCTCATTCTGACATCAAAGTATAGCCTTTTATTATTTATTTTAATATTTTGTGGAATTGTGTGAGGCTTTTTTGTATTTCAACCGCCATTGCTGACATCAATTGATTCCATTATCCTGCACACCCATCCCCCCCTACCTCCCTGTCCTCTATACATGAATGTATGCCAATCAAATGGATTATTAGACTGATTATACGGCATAGTCCAACCAGAATGGAGGGGGTGAGAAGGCGACTCTGAATAGCCAGCAGGTGGATATTCATCCTGGTCACGTTGTCATTGAATTGCCAGGACATGCAGTGGGCAGTGGGCAGTGGGCGGCTGGAAACAGGGGGCATGGCAAATGGCATTCAATCCTTAATTGCTTAATTAACATATCGTTTCTACAACAACCACGTTTGAATTTTTGGGAAAATTTGCAGCCAGTGGCGACATCAATGTGGTTCGATTTGCATATCCTGTGAGTGGGCGGACGATCCTAGCGGACGAGTGGAGTGAACAAGGCGCCAGAGGAGGACGAGGCTGGGAAAGTAGGATTCTTTGCCGTTGAGCCGCTGAAGCGGAAGGAAGGCCGCCACATTGGAAGGAAAACGGCTTTTCACGGCAGTTAATAAATTTTTAACTGGTTCCACAATAGCCCGCGAGTTCCGCCAGTTAATGGTAAGTACATGTCCTTAAAAATATCCTTAAAATAAATATTAAATATATATTTTTTTAATTAATCATTTCTAATTCTAATTTATAATTTTTTATCTAATCCACAGACGAGAAACGCGGCGGTGAGCGGCGATGAGCCCGACGAGGAGCAGACATCGACTGGCAGTGTCCCACAGGAGCCCGCCCAGGCGCAGGAGGATATGCCGGCTGGCGAGGATCAGGAGTTGCCCAGCACCGACCAGCAGAAGCTGGAGAGGATTCATCCGTCGACACAGCAGCAGCAGCAGCAGAGACGCCAGCGGCAGCGCAAGAAAGAAAAGCCTCTGGATCCGGATCCGGACACGGACTCTAGCTCTTGCGATGGCGGCGGCTTGAAGGCTAAGCGCAGCACGCGATGGAGGAGTCTCAAAGATGACCAGGACTACGACTACGAAGAGGACGAAGAGGAGGAGGATGAGCAGGATGGGGAGGACGACGAAGAGGGTGAGGAATCCTACGACGATTATGAACAATCCTCAAGGCCAGGACATCGTCCTCCAGCCCGAACTGCCTTGAATGTCCGGAGCAGGCGCAAGACGAAAAACCGCCAGATATCCTATTCCTCGGACCTGGACTTGGGTGGCGCGAACCTCGACCTGGACATCGAAGGCGAGGGTACCAGGCCGATATCCGGCGGAGGCGACTCCGTGGACAAGCGCCGCTGCATCTCCAAGGGACAAATGCGAGAGTTCCGGGAGGCGTTTCGCCTCTTCGACAAGGACGGCGACGGCTGCATCACCAAGGAGGAGCTGGGCACCGTGATGCGATCCCTGGGCCAGTTTGCGCGCGTGGAGGAGCTGCAGGAGATGCTCCAGGAGATCGATGTGGACGGTGAGTAGAAAGGATTCAGTTAAGATTTGTGGGAAATCCACCACTTAATAGATTAAGATATTCCCCTCGAGAATCGGATGAGAATTGGCTGAGATATACCTATAGTTATGGGTCATATAGGGATATCCTGCATTTTCCAAGGCTGAGATATAGACATAGACATGGGTCATATGGGGATATCCTGCATTTTCCAAGGCTGAGATATAGACATAGACATGGGTCATATGGGGATATCCTGCATTTTCCAAGGGGTCCCATCAGAAAAAATGGAAAAAAATCTAAAAAATATTTTGTTGTCAGGTTTTGATGCAGATTGGTGGGAAATCCTCCCACAAATCGTTTGAGGTGCTCCGCTTGAGAATCGGATGAGAATTGGCCGAGATATAGACATAGTTATGGGTCATATAGGGATATCTTACATTTTCCATGGGGTCCCATCAGAAAAAATGGAAAAAAATCTAAAAAATATTTTGTTGTCAGGTTTTGATGCAGATTGGTGGGAAATCATCCCACAAATCGTTTGAGGTGCTCCGCTTGAGAATCGGATGAGAATTGGCCGAGATATAGACATAGTTATGGGTCATATAGGGATATCTTACATTTTCCATGGGGTCCCATCAGAAAAAATGGAAAAAAATCGAAAAAATATTTTGTTGTCAGGTTTTGATGCAGATTGGTGGGAAATCCTCCCACAAATCGTTTGAGGTGCTCCGCTTGAGAATCGGTTGAGAATTGGCAGAGATATAGATATAGTTATGGGTCATATGGGGATATCCTGCATTTTCAAAGGGGTCCCATCAGAAAAAATGGAAAAAAATCTAAAAAATATTTTGTTGTCAGCTTTTGATGCAGATTGGTGGGAAATCCTCCCACAAATCGTTTAAGGTGCTCCGCTTTAGAATCGGATGAGAATTGGGTGAGATATAGACATAGTTATGGGCCATATGGGGATATCCTGCATTTTCCAAGGGGTCCCATCAGAAAAAATGGAAAAAAATCTAAAAAATATTTTGTTGTCAGGTTTTGATGCAGATTGGTGGGAAATCCTCCCACAAATCATTTAAGGTGCTCCGCTTGAGAATCGGTTGAGAATTGGCAGAGATATAGACATAGTTATGGGTCATATGGGGATATCCTGCATTTTCAAAGGGGTCCCATCAGAAAAAATGGAAAAAAATCTAAAAAATATTTTGTTGTCAGCTTTTGATGCAGATTGGTGGGAAATCCTCCCACAAATCGTTTGTGCTCCGCTTGAGAACCGGTTGAGAATTGGCAGAGATATAGACATAGTTATGGGTCATATGGGGATATCCTGCATTTTCAAAGGGGTCCCATCAGAAAAAATGGAAAAAAATCTAAAAAATATTTTGTTGTCAGCTTTTGATGCAGATTGGTGGGAAATCCTCCCACAAATCGTTTGAGGTGCTCCGCTTGAGAATCGGTTGAGAATTGGCCGAGATATAGACATAGTTATGGGTCATATGGGGATATCCTGCATTTTCCAAGGGGTCCCATCAGAAAAAATGGAAAAAAATCTAAAAATATTTTGTTGTCAGCTTTTGATGCAGATTGGTGGGAAATCCTCCCACAAATCGTTTGAGGTGCTCCGCTTGAGAATCGGTTGAGAATTGGCCGAGATATAGACATAGTTATGGGTCATATGGGGATATCCTGCATTTTCCAAGGGGTCCCATCAGAAAAAATGGAAAAAATCTAAAAAATATTTTGTTGTCAGCTTTTGATGCAGATTGGTGGGAAATCCTCCCACAAATCGTTTGAGGTGCTCCGCTTGAGAATCGGTTGAGAATTGGCCGAGATATAGACATAGTTATGGGTCATATGGGGATATCCTGCATTTTCCAAGGGGTCCCATCAGAAAAAATGGAAAAAAATCTAAAAAATATTTTGTTGTCAGCTTTTGATGCAGATTGGTGGGAAATCCTCCCACAAATCGTTTGAGGTGCTCCGCTTGAGAATCGGATGAGAATTGGCCGAGATATAGACATAGTTATGGGTCATATGGGGATATCCTGCATTTTCCAAGGGGTCCCATCAGAAAAAGGAAAAAAATCTAAAAATATTTTGTTGTCAGGTTTTGATGCAGATTGGTGGGAAATCCTCCCACAAATCGTTTGAGGTGCTCCGCTTGAGAATCGGATGAGAATTGGCCGAGATATAGACATAGTTATGGGTCATATGGGGATATCCTGCATTTTCCAAGGGGTCCCATCAGAAAAAAGGAAAAAAATCTAAAAAATATTTTGTTGTCAGGTTTTGATGCAGATTGGTGGGAAATCCTCCCACAAATCGTTTAAGGTGCTCCGCTTGAGAATTGGGTGAGATATGGATATGGTAATGGGTCATATAGGGATATCCTGAGAATCGGTTGGGAATTGGGTGAGATATACCTATGGTTATGGGTCATATAGGGATATCCCGAGGTTTCTGCCAAAAATCGGAACCTTCAAGTAAGAAATAGTGACTGAAAGTGGGTACTTACCCTATGATGTTATCTTTCAAAAAATAATTATCCAATTTAGCAAACCTGAAAATGGATAATAAATTAGTTGTAATATTTCTGGTATTTAGTTTCTTAAGATTATAATCTTAATTGAAGAAATAATTAAAGCAAGAAAAGTCATAAAGTTGTAAAATGTTTGACTTATTTAACTTTCAGGGGATGGCAATGTCAGCTTTGAGGAGTTTGTGGACATCCTGTCGAATATGACGTACGAGGACAAGTCGGGCTTGTCCTCCGCGGACCAGGAGGAGCGGGAGCTGCGCGATGCCTTCAGGGTGTTCGATAAGCACAATCGTGGCTATATAACGGCCTCCGATTTGCGAGCAGTGTTGCAGTGCCTGGGCGAGGACTTGGACGAAGAGGATAGTAAGTATTAATTTTCCTTAAAACAAATGAAAATATAATCCCCGAACTATTTTGGAAATGCCATTAATCTTTAGTTGAGGACATGATCAAGGAGGTGGATGTGGATGGGGATGGCAGAATCGATTTCTACGAATTCGTGCATGCTCTGGGAGAGCCGGAGGACTCGCAGGAGAATGATGACGAGGAGGAGAACACCACTTCGCCGCTGCCCACACCAAAATCGGCTATATCCCTTAGCTATGATTGAGATGATGGGCCACGTTTAACATTCCAATTTATTCACAAATAATCGATCGATCGAAATGAATCGATAATCGATAATTCATCGATACTAGGTGGGCCAGAGTGTGTGTGAAAATGCAATAAAACGAACCTGGCTTGGGGTTTGAATCAATAATCAATGGACGCCATGGCTCGGTAAGGTATTCGAAGGTTAAACAACTTGAAATAAACGAATATATAAATATAAACACATATATATATTTTTTTTCTAAAACGATTACTAAAATAATATATGTCGATCATATCGATTGACCAGCATTAGCCGAAAACTAATTGAATAGAATTCATTACATTAATTGCATTGCATTGCCAGAACGCACAGCTAATCAAATTGAATTGATGATAATTATGAATAAATATATTGAATAGCCAATTGAATAATCGAATATCCGAAATAATCGATCAAAGGTTTACTTAACATCGATATGTATATCGATATACTTGACTAAATCCAAATTTCAATTCTAGCCACCTCTTTCTCTTTAGCCAATCTATCTCTCTCTCTTTTAAGTCCAATTGAGAATCAAAACTATTTTTAGCTTGTAATCGATAACGATAACGATAACGATAACGATAATGTTGACCTATCCTTCAGACTCTTATTGACATATCCATGGGCCATACCCATACCCGAAATATTACACAAAAATATGGATATATTTCAAGACATATCATTGAAGACGCCTCTGTAAATGTGTTTTTTGTGACCCGTAGGCCCTCCTGCCCCACTAGTCCTTGTAGTCCTTGTATCCTTTTAGCTCATTGCCACACTTCCACTCTCTTTTTGACTAGAGTTTTATGTAATAAGAAATCCATTGATTTAATTAGGATATAATTGCTCAATTATTGTCAAAAAAAAAACACAAATCGCAAAAAAATATGAAAATTCTTTAATTATATTGAATAAACAATTTATTGTAATTTACAAATAACAAAACTTTTAATCGAAAATTCCAATCAAAATCCTTACATTAAAAAGAAAAACAAATACAAAAAACAAACACAAATCCTAAATAAAATAAATGACAAAAAAAAAAATAAAACAAAATGTATTTCATTTAATAACGAAATGGGGGGGGGATTGGGGTGGAATTATTTATTAAATGGCTTTTGGTGGCTGAATAATAAGGCTTCTCCAAGGACCTCTTCGAGGACAGCCTTTAACAACAATTTAAAGCAATTTTCAAAAAATAAATTAGCAATTACCGAAGCTCAACCTGGCAACCGACCCTTGGGGGGGGGCCGGCATTTATTTATTTATTTTTATTTTTTTTTTTTTGTTGACATCCTCGATAGCTGTGGCAACGAGCACAAATATTGAAGGGGGGGGGAGACACATTGGGACACATTGGTGGACCTGACCGACTGCTGAGCGCTGAACAGATTGCGGTCCACAGCTGTGGGTTGTTCCCAGGGTGCTTCACTTGACCAATCCTCCCACCACCCAGCTACCCATTTCTCATACCCTTCCAGGACATCCCCTTCATTGTCATTGTACACTCAAAGAATAAAAATGAAATTCATAAAAAAAAAGATTTATAAAAATTTATCAAAACTGTAAGAGAGTTTCTATAAATAATATGTTTAAAATTAAAAACTGTTTTTAGAAATTCTGATTAAAAAAAAAGGTTAAAAAATAATATATGTTTTCAGTGTACTTGTGAGAGCAACGTAGACAAAAGTTACGTTAATGGTCAAGTGCTCAAGTGCTTGGCCAGCAAAATTATGATGTTGTCCCCGAGGACACACCCCTCATACTAGTAGCTGCCAACTGCCATTATGCCCCCTCTCCTTGCCATCACCCCCTCCATATCCACTCATAAATACTCATAGTTGAGTTTGGTTTTGCGGTGCGTATACGTAATGTTTTTGTTAACGCTTTTCCATTGACTCACTCACTCACGATGAGTGGCAGTCGGAATTCAAGGACTATGGCTCTATGCTAATGCCATGGACTATGGCCATTAGCAGCATTCAACCCTCTTTTGAAAATTCAACATCCCGTGGGGCAATCGAGGACTAAATCGATGTTTCAAGTGACTGACTAAGAGTCCTGGGCCTAGGGTCCTAGGTTTTCTATACAGATCGGAGGTGCAAGAGACTATAGAACTGGTTACCCTGGCTTTCTCTTTAATATTTATTTAATAAAATAAAATTTAATCTTTAAAAAATATCATACTATAGTAGGGATATCATAACGTAGATCTTAATTTCTAGAGTTATGGAAACTTTCTATAAAAAAATCTTGAGATTTAAGAATTTTTAATAAAAAAATACATTTCTCATAATCTGAATAACTTTATTTTATGTTTAAAATTTTGTAAAAATAGTATTTATTTTATTTAGACCTCTTGCGCCTTAATAACTTTTAAAATCGTATTTCAAAAAATTAAAAACAAAGCCTTTTTGTTTCTAAATTTAATATTTAAATGAGTCATTTTATCATTACATCATTAGTTACAATATCTTGATGTACAGGAATATTTTTAATCCACCAAAACCAAAAGAAAAAAACAAGGTTATAATAACTAAAAATTTCCAAAAACTCAATATTCTATACGAGGGGTATCATAGAATGCTCAACACAGCTAGAAACTTGATAATTGCCAGTGGCTTAACGGTTGTTGTTGTTGTTGACTGATTAGAATTCAGGTAAGAGTATTGGAGGCCGTCCCCCATCTTTGAGGACCACAACCGTTAAGTAGCCAGTCAGTCCCCAGTCGGGCTCTTCTGTTTCCGGTTTTTGTTCCATTTTTCTCATCATTTGACTTCTGAATTCGCATAGCCATTGTGTTGCCATTGTTATTATTTCTAATTAATTTTAATGAGAAGCTTTAACCAATTGATTGATTGATTGATTGATTGAATAATTGACTCGATTGATTGTTTGATTGATGAGTGGCTTGTCGGTTATAAAAAATATATATATAGAGGGAGTTTTATTTGAATGGAACAATTAAGAACAAGTGCTTCTGGTGGCAATGGCGGTTCAATTACTGACGAAGATTAGTGGTCATCGATGGAGATCCTGTTGGCTTCATTTCCAGCTCCTTCGCCTTCTCTTTCTCCTTTTCCTTCTCCTTTTCCTTTTCCAGCTGCTTTTGCTTGAGCATCTTGTTGCGCAGCAGTACCTCCAGTTGGAGACAGAACTCTGACTTGGCAATGCCCGTATCAAGATATACCTCGTTCTTGTTATTGCCACGTTTTCCACAACGATTGCCCAGCTCTTGTATGGTATTCAGTCCACCACCAGTTCCCCCACCGGAACCGGTCTTCCCCTCCAGAAGCAACGAGGAGGCGGAGGCGGAGCCGGATCGGCGTTTGCCGCGCAAGTAGCTATAACCCGGTAGCCAGCGTCGGAGCAGACGGTCCAGCCTGTAAAGGAATCCCAGCTTGCTGGCAGTGGAGGAGCTGCCGTGACTGTCGCTCTCATTTAGTACAACTGGATTCATCTCCCGACTGGCCAAGCTCATTGTGCAATTCCTATTTTTTCTATATATCTCTCTCTATGTTTTTTATTTTATTTTATTTTGTTTTCTGTTAGAGGCTTCTAGTCTCGTTCTGGCTTTCTGGGTTTCTAAATATACGTATATATGTATATATTTCAAAATGATTTAAAAGAAAAATGAAACTAGAACGAGTCTCTCCTAGCCACGTTTCTGGCCAAGTCAAGTGGCACGTTCAGTGTCCACCACGTTGGTAATACGACCCCCGAGTGGCAGCCGAAGGTCCTTTTGATATATTTTTGAACAATTCAACTTCATTCCGGGTAATTCGTATTAATACCACGCCCCTTCCCTCACTCATCCAGCACTATGATTTGTTTTCTGAAGGGTATTCTCAGAGAAAGTAGACTGCCGGATAAATGTCGTTCGGTATTGTCACGTTCGAATAATACCTTTTAGTCACTTTGCTAAACTTTAACAAATTTCCAATAATTAAATATCAAATATTCTATTAAGATACGAAACTAAACAACTAAAATGATTGCAGAAACACTGGAAATTATCTTTAAAAGATTCCCTGAGGAGTTCCAGAACGATGACTGCGACATGCCAAACAGCTTCCCAATGCTGGCTTGCTTCACGGGAGCTCTCATTTTCGTCATCTACGTCCTGATCGGCTGTTACGGAAACCAGCACCCAAGTGAGTAACATTTCAGACCCGGCACATCCCTTGCCAAGCTGGAGGAGTCAGTTTGAGGCTTTTTTTACAAGATAAAAGATAACATTTCTCCTATCTCTGAACATTCCCCCCTCATTTACCCTTTGAAGTGCAAACAATTTTATTTTCATTTCGAATATTTAATTCATTTTTTTTTAAAGTAATAATTACAAAATATGGTGGACATTTTCAAATTCCAGATGTCTTTTCATCCTTTTTTTTATTTTTCAAAGCCTATTTCAAAGAGTGGTTTCTTCTATCAGTCTTTCCTTCGGATATACAATGTCAAATAACTTGAGTAGTCGATATCCCTTTAATAAATGAAAAAATAAATAAATAAAAGAAATAAAAAAGATTTCATGAAAAATTCGAATACATACGCAGAATCGAACCACCACCCAATGCCATAATCCTTCGCCCTGTTATTATTCGGATTACCGTCCTCATCTCGATCGTATGTTGAGAACTTGGTTCCCTGAGTTTGGTGGACAACCAATGTATCTCCATCACATCCGTCAATCTTCTTCAGCATGTAGCCTTCGCTCTTGTCGCCCACAACAAAGTTTTCGCAGTTTAAATAAAAATAGACGTCATCGTATATATACACCTCATGAGGCTTCCAATTAGTTAAAATGTGTAATTTTTCAAGTCCCATGAATATTTCCCCTTTCGGATTTCCAAATCCGTTGATGTACTCCTCATATGTACGATTAAATTCCTCTGAATCTTGATATTTATAATAAACCTGCATCCACCCAGATCCAATCTCCTCATTTGAGTAACAACGCACCTCAAAAGGTTCCAATCCTGGGATTTTGATTTCTGTGTGGGAATATGTACCATCTTGTGTTGCTGGGCAACGATCTGGTAGGGCTAAGACTTTTCTTAATTAAATTCCGCATTATTCAGTTTTTTTTAACTTACTTTCGATTGGTTTTTCTGAATTCGACGGACTCGTAGTAGTGTTAGTAGCTTCAACTTTCGTCACTGAGTTCACGTTGCTGTCATTGTTTTCTTTTCCAATTTTCACCTCTTGTCCGGCTTTTGTTATTTTTTGCAACTTTTCTAATTCTTCACTGAACAGTTTATTCAGCTCGCCGAGTTCACTTGATTTTTCCAGATCAGAAATCCTATCATTCAATACTTGAATTTGAGCACTTTTTTCTGTTACCTGAGTTTTTAAGCTCCTGACTTGCAAATCTTTCTTTCTCAATTCTTCATTTTCAATATTGACTTTCTTGAATTTATCCTGAACCTGATCGTATTTCAAAGTGGTTTCCTGAAGGCTTTCCTGGGATTTCCTCAGTTCTTGGTGAGTCTGCTGAAATTTTTCTTGAACCTCTGCGTATTTAAGTGCGACGTCAGTACATTTGTCCTGAGCGGCCGAATGTTGTTCCAGCAATTTTAAATATTTAAGATTTATTTCTTTTAGTGAGTTCTGCAGCTCTGCATTCGTCCTGTCCTTCGTCTGGCAAACCTCAAAGTATCTTAAAAGAGGTTTAACTATCGGATAGCAGACTGAAGCGCACTGATCCTCCTCCTCCTCAGATAGATAGCAGGACTGTGGAAGGTGGACGTTGTTTTGTTAACTTTTTGAAATTAAATCACTTCACTGCACTATTACCTCCTGTTCGAGTCCCAGGGCACAGGAAATGATCAATAGAAACACCGTTGGTAGCTTCATTGTGGCTTTTTTTTTTTTAAATTCACTTTAATGTTTAAGACACAAGAATATTTGAACTGATGGATCCAAAGCCGTGGCTCTGGGTTTTTATAGCCCTCCCGATCTTTCATAGAGTCTCTTATCAGAACTTTGAACTAAGTGCTCTGATTTAAAAATATTCAAAAATTTCCATCCGATCCAAAGGTCAAGGTGAAAACTGTTCCTTAGTATTTGCACTCGTTGGAAGAAAGTCATAAGATTCTCCGAAGCTTAAATTGCCATAATTCCAAGCCAATAATTAGCCAATAATAAAAAATTCGTTTAATTGTTTTGTTTATTTTTTTCAAGTGCACTTTGAGGTTAATCCAAATCATGAAGATCTGATGGAGGATTTGGATGGCGACATCTATCAAAATTTGAGTAACTATTTCCATGATGGTGACGAAGAGGCACGTGACGAAGGCGATGAGTACTAAACTATACTAGTGGAGGATGTGCTGAGAGAACATTTCTTTTCAAAAAATAAATAAGCTCGCCTGGTGCGAAGAAATGTATTTGTGAAAGTGTATTTAACAATAGACTTGTCTTACTGGCCGGCTTCTCCTTATCTCTCAAAGTGCTTATAATTGAAAAAGTTTTGTTGCCGCAGCGAGAGCCGCACTTGCCACACTTGCCACTTGACTTAATATCCCGGATTTGGGAAAGGCAATGTGGTCTTTAAGAGGCTTAGGCCACTTATGGCGAATATGGTAACTTGATGAACTCTTTTGGTTTCTTTGCCCACCGCATCCCCCCTTTTAGAAATTCAATGCCACCTGAAATGTCTCTATGTGTGTGTGTGTGTGTATTATTTCCGTTTCCGGGCATGGCAGTTAAAATGGCTACCAAACACAGACATACAGGTGGCAACAAAAAAAAAACGAAAGGTCTGGCAGCGGAAAATAAGTATTATCCAAGCTCGAAAATGGACCAAGAGGGGGTCCATTTCAGACGGGGACGAAACCAAAGTCCAAGGACATTCAACGGAAGTTGGGGCCCCACACTCGAGGGCATTCTGTTAGCCTCTTTTTTAGATTTTCATCACACATACATAGTTGTTGTCATAAGAAGGGGCTGCGTTCCAAATAGGTCTCTCTTTTTTTATTTCTGGCCGGGAACTGGGCTTGGAATAGGTTTTATATATTCTATTTATTATATTTTAGTTTTGTGGTTTTTAAATATTCTCTTATTTTTGGTATTAAATTATTTTTATTATTATAATTATTATTATTATTATTATGTACACTTAAGGCATTCAGCTTGCTTTCTCTTTACATTATATACATATATGTACATACACACATACATGTCTACATAGTATAGTTTTTAATTTAATTAATTATTTTGTATGATTTTTAAAGCTTTTCATGTTCTTCTACATATGTCTTGTTTTTTTTTTTCTAAGTTCCAAATATGTCTCTTGCCAACGTATAGCAATTTCTTATCAATTATTGTTTTTATTTCTTTTAAATTTTTTTGATGGTGTTTGGAATAGGTTTTATATATGTATGTATATAGTTATATATAATTTTATATTATATATACAATATTTTACCTCTAAAATAATATCTCTCTAATACCTCTACAAAAAAATAGTTGTACTGATAAGGAATCAGACACGTCATATTCCAACCGTATGGCTGAGACTGCTGCCGAAAAAAAACTTCTATAAAATAAATAATTATATAAATTATAATCTTCAAAAACACGAAAGTTGGGTCATTTCCGATCGTTCAGTTATATGGCAGCTATAAGATATAGTCGGCCGATCCTTATGAAATTTGGCATGTTGTGATAATTTGCCAAAAATAGCTCTCGTGTCAAATTTGACTCTCTAGCTCTAAAAACACCAAAGTTATACCATTTCCGATCAATCAGTTATATGACAGCTATAGGATATAGTCGGCCGATCCCGGTCGTTCCGACTTATATACTGCGTGCAAAGAAGGGTGTGTGCAAAGTTTCAAGACGATAGCTTCAAAACTGAGAGACTAGTTCGCGTAGAAACAGACAGACGGACAGACAGACAGACGGACAGACGGACAGACGGACATGCTCATATCAACTCAGGAGGTGATCCTGATCAAGAATATATATACTTTATAGGGTCGGAGATGTCTCCTTCACTGCGTTGCACACTTTTGGACAAAATTATAATACCCTCTGCAAGGGTATAAAAATAGGCGATTTAAAGTCAAAGAAATTTTCAAGACTTGGGGACTCATAGAAGAAAACCTTAAACTGTTTAGGATTTTTGTATGAATTTATTTTCATAAAGATGAAGATTATAAAAAATAATCAAGATTTTCCATAATTTATTGGTTAATTTTTTTGAATAAATTTTTGCTTCAAAAAATAGGTTTTTAAATATCAATTATTATTGAATATAAAATATTTAAACATTTACATCTTACATTCGTTGTTTGATTCCATATTATTATATGATTTGATTTGTTGTCGATCGAATTCAACTTGGTCATAATATTTTATTCTAATTTTTATCAGTTCACTAGATGTGAACAGCAACTGTAGCTTCCAAAAAAAAAAAAAAACACGTTCCTGGCTTTCGGCCCCTGGCTTCTTATCACTGTGGCCCGAGAGTGGCTTATCAGTATACGGTGTGGTGTCGTACAATAACGACTACAATAACACCCTCCCTTCCGATTTAATAAAGCCCCGTGTTAGTTCTCAAAGGACTAGAGAAAAAATTGTTGTAAATAAAGCTTAATTTTGGGACATAAAAAAGCTCAGGAAATATCCCCCCATTTTTTAGAACGAAAATTTCGTGAATTTCCCTTTGTTTTAGTATCAAAATAAAAGCTTAGGAAATATCCCTCCATTTTTTAGAACGAAATTTTCATGAATTTCCCCTTGTTTTAGTATCAAAATGAAAGCTCAGGACAAAATCCCTGCTTATTTTAGTGCAGAAAGTCCCTCTGTTTTAGCACAAAATTCTCTAAAAGTTCCCTATATCTTGTTCCCCACATCTTGTACCCCGTATCTTGTGGTTCGGAAATAGAATTCAGGTTTAGTAGCCAGGACCTTGATTCTTTGAACCTTTTTTGTACTTTTTTGGGACTCTTGGGACTTTTTTTTTTATTCAAAAATAATAAACTATGGAAAAGTCGAATCAATAGTCTCATTATCATTAATTTATTAATGAATCTCATTAACTTTTATGAAAATAAATACACATAAAAATATAATACAATAAATACAGCCAGTGCTGGTATTTTACTAAGATATCATTTATTTTTATACTTATATACAGTTGAAGCTTTATCAATTCTAATGTAATTGCGAGTATTTTATAGAAGACTTTTTTTTACCTATAGCTATAGAGGTAATATTGATTTGTGTTTCATAGCATCTGTTAAAAATGTATATTGAATAAAATTTGCAGTTATTATTTTTCTTAAAAGTCTTCCTATTTTAACATGTGGAGCAATTGAATACGCAAAAATAGAAATTAAGTACGTATATAAAAAAAAATTACTATACATATTTAATATTATACAACATTTTAAACCTTGACCTTAGAATTTTGGAATATCAGTGCATATAGTTCAAATTTCACAAACAGCACTCGCGCAAGTGTTGGTTCTGATAAGAGACTCTATGAAAGCTCGGGAGGGCTATAAAAACCCAGAGCCACGGCTTTGGATCCATCAGTTCAAATATTCTTGTGTATTAAACATTAAAGTGTATTTAAAAAAAAAAAAAGCCACAATGAAGCTACCAACGGTGTTTCTGTTGACTATTTCGTGTGCCCTGGGACTCGAACAGGAGGTAATAGTGCTGTGATGCGATTTAATTTCAAAAAGTTAACAAAACTACGTCCACTTTCCTTAGTCCTGCTATCTATGTAAGGAAAAGGAGGATCAAAAGGTGATAATTGAAAAAGAAAACAATGACAGCAACGTGAACTCAGTGACGAAAGTTGAAGCTACTAACACTACCACTAGTCCGTCGAATTCTGAAAAACCAATCAGAGGTAAGTTGGAAAAACTCAATAATGCGGAATATAATTAACAAATATCTTAGTCCTACCAGATCGTTGCCCAGCAACACAAGGTACATTTTCTTTCTACCCAGAAATCCAAATCCCAGGATTCGAACCTTTTGAGGTGGGTTGTTACTCAGATCTGATGATTGGATCTGGGTGGATGGAGGTTTATTTTAAGAGTTCGGGTTCAACGGAATTCAATAGTACATATGAGGAGTACATCAACGGATTTGGAGATCCGAAGGGTCTTTGGTTCATTGGACTCGAAAAATTACATATTTTAACTAATTGGAAGCCTCATAAGGTTTATATATACGATTTCTATGGAAGATATTCTATAAGATGCGCCAACTTTGTTGTGGGCGACAAGGGCGAAGGCTACATGCTGAAGAAGCTTGAGGGATGCACTGGAGATATATCGCATTTCAATCTAACTCAGGGAACCAAGTTCTCAGCATACGATCGAGATGAGGACGGTAATCTGGATAAAAACTGGGCGAAGGAATTGGGCTTTGGATGGTGGTTCAGTTCTGGGTATGTATTCGAATTTTTCATAAAATATTTTGTACTCCCAATACGAAAATTCTTATGTAACTGATACATTGATTTCTTTTATTTATTTATTTTTTCATTTATTAAAGGAATTACGACCTGTATTACGAATACCTGTATTATTTGAATTTGTACATCCGAAGGAAAGATTGAAATAAGAAACCACTCTTCGAAAAAGACTTTGGAAAATAAAAAAAATTATGAAAAGACATCTGGAATTTGAAAATGTCCACCATATTTTGTACTTATTGTTAAAAATGAATTAAATATTCGAAATGAAAATAAAAGTGTTTGCATTTCAACGGTGGGGAATGGTGGGGAATTTTCAGGTCCAGCACGCGTACCCGGTACCCTTAAGAAATGGACTCTGCTTCAGATATAGTATCTCTACTGACGGAGTCTGGCCCCAGACAGCGATTATATTCAACCCGCGAGAAATAAAAATAAATTTTCCTTAAAAAGACACAAACCAAAAGGGTAAAATGTTGTGAAAAATAACAGGAACTTGTGAGTATATGTGAGAATTTTCCCAAAACCATTTAACATTTTCCTTCATTTATAGAATTCAGAACCAGCGGAATGATAACATTTCCCAGCCACGCCAAGCACTCGTATAAGAGTCAAAATACCTCTGGGAAAGTGGGAAAACTTTTTGAAGAGGTCAGGTCCTTATGGCTGCGTTTTATGGCTGGAAATAATGGGATCAACTTTGGCGGTTCAATTTAATTCCATAAGCTGGTGCTGTCCGATAGCGAACTTTATTCAAAAATCGAATAAAAGTGAAGGGTGTATTGGTGTTAAGTCTTAACATTCATTTGATTGACATTTTCTTGGATTTTTATAATTTTTTTCACTAAATAGTGGCTTAGGTTGAATTCAAAATGAGCTTTATTGGAAGGACTTTCCCGCTATTTCCCCTTGAGTCCTGTCCCAAAAAGTGAGGGGTAAGGCACTCAAGTCCACTCGAGCCAATGCCGAGATAACTCACTCGTGAGTGAGTGCGTCTCAAGTCTCGACTGGCCACCAAAATACCACCCACTTTATTTGACGCCCATGTGCCGGGGCAATCAAAACGCAGCTGGAGGCATTCTAAAAAAAAAAAAAAAAATAAATAAATATATGCCAATTGAATTGTCAATTGGGAGAGCGTCTCTGGTCTAGGATCTAGTCCAAGTTTGGAGCAAAACGGCAGGCCGGAAAAGCCAATTAATTGGACAGCGTACCGGCGCCTCTCGGAAAAGCGCAGTCGAGTGGAATGCGAGTAGTTCGGCGCCAGTTTTGCAGCTTCAGGTGTTACGCCAACTGTCACGTACATACAATATATATATACATATACCGTCCGGACTCGGGACCGCAAAAGTGGGCGAACATTGACCTGAACCCGTCAGCCCAGAAGCCGCGCCAGGACCTTCCCTCCCCCAAGGATACCATAGGATACCCAGACGCAGTCCCTCGCCCACTCAACGCAGTCCATCTGTCGCCGGCCTGACGCTAAAAGTGCCCTCGGGTTCGAACCAACATTGAAAGAAACTCATATATTTTTTTTAATTTAAAAATAAACTAGAATATAAATGAATGAATTATTAATTAATTTATTTAAGTTTTATGATATTATTTTGAATTTTTTTTCGTCACTAATTTGTTTGCAAATGAAATATTTTGTCGAGTGTACTAGTAGTTGATGTCGAAGGAAGGTAAAGTGACAGAAGAGCTCCCTGAGGCTTTTCCCGGCACCGCAGGAACGTGAACTTTGTACCGTGCCGCCTCATTTGCACTACAAAAGCAGTAAGATGACTAAATTAATGAGATTTCCTAGTTAGCAAAGTTGGCTCTGGCTCGGGGTCACCGTTTTGAGGTCACCAAAAGCCTGGTCCTCCTTCGGTTTTTTTTTTGGAATGGGTTCTACATCTAACATCCTTGAGACGATCTTACCAGCCAGCTGTAAAGTGCCCAAGCACTTTCAATCTTTAGAGTGTCTGTGGATAATGTTCACTAATGGTTTCTAAATTATTTACCTTGAAGACTAAAGAAGATCTTGATTCATTCATTTGGCGAATGGTCATCATTAAATACAATCTAATAAGGGAATTGCAGCTTGATGGCGCCCCCAACTTTAAAGTCATTGCAGTTTATCACTTGCCAGGCGCTAAACTTTCGCTGCGCCATCATAAATCAGCGAGTTGGCTTTTCCAAGCCATGCATTTTCATGCCATTTCCCCACTAAGACGACTATGCGATGCGTTTGCTTCATTTCGACTTATCATTCCTTGGAAACTTGTGCACTAAAAAGGCACTACTTCGAACAATTGGGTTGGCCCCCAAGTTTTGGGAGTAAACTAACCCAATTTTATAGCCAGTGGGGGTCATGACTATCAAAAAATATTGTCGTTTTTCGGTTTTTTTTTTTTGTCTACCACAGCAGATAAATAAATCACGGAACTGCAGGCGGTGTCCCATTGTGTCTCTCCAACTCTGGCGGCTAAGAAAGAAAGTCAGGTGGGGCAGCATGTCCCATGAAAGTATGCTACCAAAATATTGCCGTTGGTGACAAAAAAAAAAATAATAAAATATATTTATGTATATATGTATGTTAAAAGGTCAAAAAGGGGTTAATTCATTCATAAATTAAGAACAACAAAAAGTTGTTATTGCAACGCCATTGTGGATGCCTCAAATCAACAATAATTCGCCCAGCCACCTGAAAGTATGCAACGTTTTTTTTGTTTCGGTTTTCTCACACAAAAAGTGTGACCAATGTGGGTCATTTCATTGGGAATTCATAAAGAAGACAACTGCGTTTCAGTTGGAGTCTGTGGCTTAGTTGGCAAATGTATATAAAAAATTTATTAATAAACCAGAACAAAAAAAAAGTAAAGTGTAATTGCAATTTCTGCATAATTTTTGCTCTGCATAACAATCTCTGGATTCTGTGTGTCCAAATATTCTCTGTCCGGTTTTTTTTTTTAATTTTTTTTTTTATTGAAATGCGTCAACAAACAAAAAATATACAATATAAACATCAAGCGGACAAAAGGCGAGCACATGACAAAGAGGGCGAGGGGGGAGCTGTGTATTTGATGGGGGGTGTGGGGAGGGGAAGGAAGGAAATAACAAACAGCCATTTCAATTATTTATTGGAATTTTTACCTACTGACAGCAAACAGAGAAAACAGAAGGCAGAACCAAAAGGCAGAACGGCCAAATGCCCCGTCAAAAAAAAGGGGGGTGGGGGGATACAGATGCCAAGGGGTTATGGGTAACTGGGTGGTTGGGTGGCTGAGAGGATATAACGTAGCCAGAATACAAACAAACAAACACACTTGCACCAGCAATATTGTTAAATATATGTAAGCAGCCATAAAGAGCAACAGGGAACGACGAAAAGGACTTAAGGGGTGGTCCCCAACCCCACCCAAAAAAAAAAAAGGAAGGAAACAGAGAGGAACAGGAGGAGGGCGGTAGGAGGGGGGGTGGCAAACAAAAGCAAGGGGGGTAGGGGTCCTAAAGCCAATGCACAAAATATGTATCAGAAGGTAAACTGCAATTGCAAAAATACATATACTTTTTTTGGTAGAAAAGGGAGGGAGGGGGATGGTTGGCTTCCCTTAGCCATTTCTCCACCTGTTCCACCTGTCGCTATTGCTCATGTCTAAGTGGCACGCCCCCATGGCCAATCTACATCCCCTCCTACCCATCCACAGTCTACTGATGCCACAAGTGTCGAGTTCGACTTTTTCTACAGTGGATGGAAACTAAGAAATGGGGGAGAGTCCTTAATTTTTTTTTTTAATAAATTATTTAAGTTAATTTATAATTAAGATAAGAGTTAAAAATAATGATCATTTTAATTATAAAGAATTTTTTAAGGTTTTTAAAAGCTAATTGTTAGCTAATAATTAGTTATAAAATATGTTTATTCATTTTTATTCATATTTATTCATATTTATTCATTTTTTATTCATATTTATTCATTTTTTATTCATTTATATTATTTAACTTTTTTTATTTGTATTATGTTTTATTCATTTATATTCATTTGTGTTCATTTTTATTCATTTTCATTCGTGTTTATTTTTTGTTAGTAACTTGACAAATAAATAAAAACTAACCTCAATACTTTATGACCGTTTAATCCTTTTTTCTTGACCAAATCTTGACCAAATCTTGATTAAAGCAACAATAAATACTCCATGGAATGCGAAAGTAAATCAACTTTTCCACCAAACTCGTCCCATTTACCATTTAACCCTTCCGGGGCCGTGTCCCTTTTGCGATCCCATGTATGTATGTGTGTGTTTGTGCTACCGAATCCTGTGTATGCCGCCGCCGGAGCGTGTCCTGCATTCGAATGTCCTGTTGCTGTTTGCCGGCTTTTTTTTTTTGGCCCATCCTTTCGTCGTTTGGCATTTCATTTTGCAGTTTATCTCTCTGCCATTTTGGTGTCGCAAATCTCACATAATATCCAATTGCTAGTTAAGGACATTCGGTCAGGGGGTATCCCTGATAAGATTACCCATATTTGGTTACCACAAAAAAAAACCATAAAACTTCTTTTGTTTCCCAAACTATTTCAGTTTTTCGTTGTTTCGATGCTTATGTAAAATTTATCATTATTATGCAAAAATTGTCAATTTCGTTATAGTGTAGTGGAGTACTGTATGTATATCGGGCCATTCTTCAATCTCTCAATAATCCCCCGACCACCCACTGTCCACTGTCCTGGTCCAGAGTCCTTACATTGGCCACAAAATTGGGTTCTGGTTACGTGTTTGTTGAAGGAACAAACTTTTTTATTTTTTTGTTTATACGCCTGGCTCATGTTTTTGCTCGTGTTACGGGTTTTATATATGTATATATTTTTTTCGCATGTTTTTAGCTCCAACAATAGAGTCAAACAAGCAATAGAGATGGCAGTGGGGTTGGCTTGATTTTTCGATAAATTTCGATACATTTTTTATTGCCAATTTTATGCCAAACATGGCAATGGGAAATATTTGGGTATAACAAGTACTTAAGAAAGAAAAACAATGTATTTCCTTTACTAGACACCTTCAGATATTTTCTCCAAAAAATTTTATGTACAATTTTCGATAGTTTTCGATAATTTTATATCCTTTTCAGGAAAAAAATAAAAAGATATTAATTTAATGGTATTTTCAAAGATATTTTGTTTAGGACAATAGAGCCTAAAGTTTTCAGCAAGAATTTAAAGCCAAATTCTATAACTTTCGATATAGTTTCGATAATTTCGATAAATTTGTTATAAATATCCCTTTTTACAGCTTTAGTCCTCAGCTTAAAATATACACAGGCTAGAAAAACAATGTTTTCTTCTAAAATCGATTGAAATACCTATTTGCCTTTCAATTTTTTTTATTTTTCCTCAACAAAATCGATAATTTTCGATAATTTTCATCGTTTAAAATTCATCTCTATTTGCCTTAAAATGGAGAACGACCAATTTAATTGTCTTTCAATGGTCCTGCAACTGCAATAAATCAGAAGAATCCACACACACAAAACAAGAAAGAGACGGCAGCAAATAAAGCGAAGGAGAGAGAGGACCAATAAGCGATACAAATATTGGATGGATTGTTCTGAATGGAATACACATCCTGCCATTCCAATTCGTTTCTCTGTTTTCGATTCTTGATTCTCGGTTCTCCTCTGTGAGTATTTGTGTGTTCGCAAATATGCAAATTTCTTTTTTTTTTTTTCTTTTTCGCTCAGCTTGATTATGGCAAAAAGGAAATTTGTTTGTTCCGATTCCGGAACCAACAAAAAAAAACAAAAAAAAAAAAAAGGACAAAGAAGTGAATTGGGTGACGGCTTTAAGTTCGTTTCTTGAGGCAAGTCATAGCCAGATACCCCCTAGATACACCAACAACATATCTTTCTGCAAAATCCTCAACAAAACAAAAAATAAAAACAGCAAACTGAAATCTCATCTCCAGCTAAACCATACAAATAATCAAAATTTATTGTGGAAATTAGTCCAAATATTTCATTTTGCTGCTGTTGCTACTGCTGCTACTGCTTTTGAGAATAAAATTATACGGTTGTGTGTTTTTGGGTGGCGGTTAGTTAGTTTTAGCAATTTGTATGCAGAAATTGCAATTAGAAATTTCTGACATTAATAAGCAGCAATTTGTGTGCACATGACACGGGCCAGAAGAGAAGACCAGACCAACGACACCCGGACACCCGGACACCCAGACACCCAGAGACCCGGAGAAAGAAGAAAGCAGAGCAAAGCAGACAAGCTAAAGTGAAAGCATTTCACTGGTAGTGGGGGTGTGCTTTTGCCAAGAAATATTTGGCCGAAAACTGTTGCAATTAGTGTGACAAAACGAGCAACTTTTTAAAGCTTCAACAACCGAAATGTCTGCAACGGAAATTGGCGCCAAAAAAAAAGACAAATAATGACAAAAATAAGGAGTCGACAATGCCTGGATACCTATTAATTAAATAGATTTGTAGATTAGCAAAAAAAAATAAAAAAGAAAAGATTTTTAAAACTTTTAAATAGCTTAAATCGATAGGTTTCGATATTTCTTAGCGTTTAAAGTTCATCTCTATTAGATTGTAAATTATATATATTAGAGATGTTCTATAGATTTATAAAGAAACTCACAAGTTTCTTTAAACTCTCTTATAAATTAAAGATTATATTCAGTTTAGTTCAGTTTATTTTTGTAGCTACAATTTTCTATGCAAAATCGATAGTTTTCGATAAATTTAATCGTTTCAAGTTCATCTCTATTTTCTAACTAAATAATTAGATAAAAAACGAAAATATTTGACAATAAAAATACTCTTTCCATTAAATTATTTCTTTTGAAATTATTTTCTTATTTTCTTTATTTTCTTTTGAAAAAATCGATACTTTTCGATACTTTTCATCGCTTTGTTGCCTGCTTGAACAGCATACCCCTTAATCCCTGAGACTACTGGGTATATTAAGTCGTAGCAATCCAAACTGAAGGAGTCTGCGACATGGCATTTGTCCTCAAATTCAATTTGCCATCTCCTGATGAGCCCGATGGCCATATGAAAGATGAATGTCCTGGGAATGGGTATCGTTATGGGAATGTACAATGGTTGTGGTAAAGGATACAAAAGGATATGCCTGCCTGCCTGCCTGACTGGCTGGCTGGCTGGGTGGCTGGTAGTCTGTTTGCCTTCTTGCTTGCTTGCCTGGTGGATAAGGAATATAAAGAGCAAAGTTGCCATGACAGCAAAGTCATAAATGCCATTGATAATGAGCGCCATCCCGTCGTCCCAGTGTCCCAGTATCCCAGTCAGAAAGTGCCCCCATTTTTTGGGGCACATGGCTTAAGCAGCTCTGCCTCAAATTGTAAACCGAAACCTCCTGTCTGCCGAGATGCCCCCAGAAACTTTTCATTAACACATGCCCAGAGTGTTTGCAGTGAAAGAAATAGTTTCAAAAAATATATATATACAAATAAGAAACTTTGTACGATTTTTCTATATTTTTCTTAGAGTGTAATTACTGGTTAAGGGAGGTGGGGGAGGCATGGCTAGCTTGTTGGCCCGGCCAAAAACGAGCGCTTTACTTAGCTTAAGCTGTTTTCCTCCGCCCAAAGTTTTGCTTGCAGCACTTAAATATTTATAAATGAAATTCATGGTCGGTGATTGGGGCAAGGATGGTGTGGCAAGGACCTCTTGCCACCCAACAAGTAGGAGGTGCTGATGAGTGGAGCAGCAGCAGGTGCTTTTGGTTGCTGCTTCCTGGTGGCCAAATTCAAATGAATTTTCATTTCGCTTTGTTTTTTTTTTTTGTTGCCTCTCGTTTGTTCGCTCTCTTTGTTTTTCAGCACAACCACCCAACTACCCAGCCACCCACTCAACCACCCAACCACCCACTCATCCACCCACCCAACTACCCAACCTTTCCAAAAGCAAACACAAAATGTAAACAAATTCCCAGCAATTTTTGTGGTTGGACCCCAACGGTAGGTGGGTGGGTAGGGTAGGTGTGTGAAAAATAATAAACTTTAATATAAAATAGATTATTGATGTTTGCTCTTTGCTGTTTATTTGTTGTTGTTATCATTGTTCTTGCCCGTTTTTTTGTTGTTGTTATTGTTGATTGTACTACACTAGCCAACAAGATAGTTAGTTGGGCTTGAACTAAACTTTCTCTAAAAGTATGAAAGTTAATTTCTCGTTCGTATCATCATCTGATGTCGAGAATCATCGAATATACTCCAAGGTCTATATTTAGAATTAATATAAATATTTAAAAATAAAATAAAATAATAATTCTAATCATACGTACACTCCACCAAGACCATTGTACCACCAGCCACGACCCCAGACAGCCGCCAAATTGGTGTCTGGCTGACCATCTTGATCCCGATCGTAGGTGGAAAATGGAGTACTCTCCTTGAGGGATATAGCAGCAGGATCTCCGGAGCAGCCTTCCAGGCTTGTTATCGCATATTCATCATCCTCATCACTCACCTCAAAGTTGTCGCATTGGATTGGAGGAAAATAGGTGCTGATCACCCTCAGCTCGTGGGCTACACTTGTCGTTATCAGATACAGCCTTTCCAAGCCAATAAAGTATTCTCCCTCCGGATCTCCGAAACCTACTTTATAGTTCTCGAATGTCCGATTAAAACCATGTTTATGTCGTTGGCTATTCAAGACCACAATCCATCCGGAGCGACAAATCACCTGGAAAGGATCTCGTCCTGGGATGTAAATGGTTGTTGTGGCATTTTCGTTGGGAGAACAACTCTCGGTGATTGGGGAGATAAAGGGTGGGGGCTGCTCTGAAATCTCACTTGATTTTGTCAAAGCATCAAGTTGATCTTTTAATATTTTTATTTCATTATCCTTTTCTCGAATGGTGGCTTGTAGTTCCTCAAACTTGAGATTCTTTGCGCTACAAGTTTCAAAGTACTTCAGCAAGGGCTTAACAATTGGATAGAAAATCGTGCCACACTCATCTTCGCATTCATGAGAAACGAAACATGACTAGAAAATAATAATAGTATTATTTTGAAGTATTTTTTTTTAAGAAATATAATTACCTCCTCTTCGTAGCTTAAAGAAAGGGGAATCATACACCCCAGAAGAGCCAAAAAAAACCAATCCATTCTCAGGTATTTGTCATCTGGCAGTCGAACTTCAACTAATGCTTCTCTTGCCACTGAGACTCTTAATTCTAATCGCTTATCAGCCGAAGCTCTTGACCTCTAACTTGGTACTGGTGGCTATCAGAAGCTCAGCTCTGCTGACTAGTGTGTCTGTTATTTTTAATATTTTTTTTTTCGAGTGGAACAGCCACTGTACAGTGAAACAAAGGAAATTGCATGAGACATGGGGCATGGGGGGCAGGAGGCTGCCATGGCAACTTTTGGTGGCAAAAACTGTTGCACATTGTTGTTGAAAGTCCAATAACGGTCTATATAACAAAGTGTTGCAAAATGCTGAATAAATTAATGGCATGCCCATAGTGTTGGATACGGGCCTATGATCCAGATAATAGATATTTTTATTTTTAAATTAAACATATAAATAATATCTATTGTGTTGAACAGTGCCTGTGCCAATATAATATTCTCATTAAATGGATTAAATTTTTGGATTTGAATTGAAAATTGCAAGGTGATTTTGCTGCAAAAAAAATTCTAATAACGAGGTGGCAATGATAATGGCCTCCAGGACATAAATAAAGGTAGAAATGAAAGGCAGCCAGCAGCTACCAGCCAGGAGCCAGGACTATAGGAGCCACAACAGCTGCTAACCAGATTCAAAAAATACATACCAGATGAAACGATGATAAATAAGGCGGCAAAGTGGGAAAGAATGTGCGGGAGAAAGTGCTGGAGAAAGTATGGCCGAAAGTAGGGTGGCCAGCCTTGTCAAAATAAAAAGCAAAGTTAACAAGTTTGTTTTTGTGTGTTTTTAAAAAAATAGAAAGAAATCAGATGAGATACAATATTTGCGAATTAAATTAATACATTTTTTGTGATATTTTAGAACACAGAGAACAGAGGCACTGAAATGGAAAAATAAGAGACCATAACAACAAAACAAATATTTTATTTTCATTTCCATATTAAAATAATAGAGCCCTAGGTTACATAAATGGAATTTTAAATATTTGTTTAAAGTGCTTGTACTTTGTTGTGGATTAAATAATAGAGTCTTTATGTTAATAAATTATGATTGTAGGTTATGATTAGTAGAGAGGTTTTTTAGGACAAAATATTTAAGGTTTAGCGGCTTACTTTCTCTCTAAAATATATATATTTTTTAACCTTTTTTTTGCAGTGCCAGTACTTGGTTATTTTTGTAAAATATATCCTTTTATTTTCAGTTTGGACTCAATGGCCGCTAAAAAGGCTACAAATTTGTGTAGCTGCTCATCTTTTTTGTTTTTTTTTTGCCTCTGGCCACGCCTTCTGCTCAGTCCTTGATCCTGCCGCCTCTTCCGGCATGAAAGATAAATTTTTGTTAACCTTTTTTCGGTATCCTAAATCAACAACAATGACTGGACCTTAACGTCCTTAGACCCCCTTAGTGTCCTTAGCCCCCTTCAATTGTGCCAATTGCCTGCCGCTCGTCAGTTAATCAAAATAAAAGCCGCGACCTCCGCCCAGGACTCCAACACAAAAAAAAAATAAAATAACAAAAGCCTCTGACAAAAGTAAGCCCCGCACGAAGACATAAACAGGAAGCGGATCCTGCGAAGGGAAAAGGACCAGCAGACTGCGCCTCTGATTTGGCCAAAAGCCAGAAACTTAGGCTCTCAGAATATGCTTCCTGAAGACCACTCTTTGAATGATTTCTGAAAAAAATTAAATATACTTTATTTTACAGTTTAATTTTAGAATTTAAAAAGCTCATTCTCTAAACAAAAATTAAGATTTTCAAAGTCAACAAGTTAGAGTATCCTTGAAGAGTGTCAGATCTTTTGAAAGCCCACCAGTGGGGGCGCCTTTTTGCATTTTGCCAGCAATTTGCTTTCGCGGGGGATAGGGGGATTTTGGGGGCATGGACTGAGGGGCACCATATTTTAGCGCATCGATGGCGAAATATTTTTCAATTTTTCAACACATTTGGCTGGCAGCAGCAAAATGCTGCTCATATTTTCACAAGCTGTCAACATATATCTTACGGTGGGTGGCTGGCATATCCTTAGAAAACAGGACTAGCCATGGCAAGGGGCAAGGTGGTATGTTGCTGCTGCTGCTACTGCTGCTGCGTGTGCATTTCTGGCAATGTTGCAACGACAGCAACACACACACACACACAGACACTCAACAAAACTGTAATTTTTCCGGCAGTGACTTTGTAGTTTTTACAACTTGCCACGTAATTTTTTATGTCCTGCCACACAGGAGCAACAAAAACTATTCATTAATCCTTATAAATACTTAATTTTTAACTAGTTTCGGGTAAGATTAAATAAAGGGATAAAAAATTTTTTAAAATATTTAAAAACAAAAATACTCTGCATTTCGAACTCTATACTTTATGAATAATTTATTTTACACTCTATAATTTTTTTTCTTGCAGTTTATTAAGCTTTTCTTGTTTTCCAAATAGGATTATACGACTCTCCTTTGCTGTCTCTATTTTTTTCCTTCTGAAGGAAAGAGTCCTGGAGACCTTAAAATAAAAAAAAAACAAGCTTGTAGGTAAAAAATAAGAAAAACAGAAACTACAACAAATAACACTTGTAGAAATGACTGGTGCTACAGTTTTGGTCCTTCGAGTCCCTACTCCTGGCTTGTCCTAGCTCCTACTTTTCGGCCACGCCCATTTGCCAACGTTGATTGACAAAAGAAGCAGAAAAAAGGATGTAACAGACTTGGAATTTCAAGGGGGTTTTGCGTAAAAAAAAAAATAGAGAGGGGCTTGAAGGCTAGCCAGAGAGGGCTAGAAAGAGGGGCTAGCGAGGACCAAAGAGGTGGCTAGAAAGGGGTCTAAAGGTAAAGGGATAAAGGGGCCATCTAGGGGCACAACATCAAACAACATGGCATAAAAATCAGCAACTCTGTGTCGGCGTTGCTCTGCTCAGTGGCTCGTAAATGGGCAAAACACTTTTACAAAGTGCAGCTTACATGCCATCCCTTTTCCACAACCATACTGCCCATCTCTTTCTAAAGCGGGAGAAAGTGGCGGGGAAAGTTGGGTGGGGGGGTTGAGGACATACGGTAGCGACAGATTAATGCGTTTATGCGTCGGTCGCCATCACTTGGAATTGCGTTTTTTGCAATTCTGCCTTTTTGCAGTTTTCCTGAGCTTTCCCTTTTCTTTTTTTTGTGCTTTTCCTCTGCTTTTTCCCCTTCTTCACCTCCCTTTCGTCCTTTGAGTGGATCAAGTGGCGGGCATCCTGTCCAAAAGTAGGGGGAAGAACGAGAAGTGACAAGCTGCTAACAAGTAAAAGGATATACACGAGTAACCTTATCATAAATAGTGCTAATTTGAGGTGTTTTATGCTTTTTTGTGCTTTTTGTTTGCTTTGCTTTACTTTTTCATTGCTTTTTTGGTATCAATAAGAAAAAAGTAATACACCTACTTAAAATAAGATAATTGTTTAGTTTTTAGAATTCCTCATCAAAATGGGTGGTAATTTTTGCTTTTTCTATGCTTTTTCTGTGCTTTTTGTTTGGTTTTTCATTACTTTTTCCTTGCTTTGCTTTGCTTTTTCATTGCTTTTTTGGTTAAGATGAAAAAAATTTTACTGGCTTACTTAAAATATTATAATTTCCTTAATTTTTCATTACCTTATCAAAGAATTGTGGGTTTTTTATGCTTTTTGTGAGCCTTTTCATGCTTTTTCTATGCTTTTGCTTTGCTTTTTCTTTGCTTTCTTTGGTTAAAATAAAAAAAAACCTAATTTATTAACTTAAAATAAAATAGTTTTCTTTTTGGCTGATTACCTCATCACAGAAAGTGTTAATTTTTGGTTTCTTATGCTTTTTGTGTGCTTTTTCTTTGCTTTGCTTTTTCTTTGTTTTTTTGGTAACAATTTGGTATTTTTGGAAAAAAAAACTAATACATTTACTTAAAATAAGATAATTGATTCCATTTTTGATTGTCCTATCAAAAAGAGGGGTCAGTTTTGGCTTTTTCTGTGCTTTTTCTTTGCTTCTTCTTTGCTTTTTCTATGCTTTTTCTTAAATTTTTCCTGCTTTTTCGGTGAAAATAAACGAAAAACTAACTAAATTAGTTAAAATAAGATAATTTCCTTTTTTTTGAATACCTTAATAAAAAGAAATGTGTTAATATTCGATGTTTTTTAATGCTTGTTTATGCTTTTTTGTGTTTTTTCGTCGTTTTTCTTCAGAAAACAAATTTTTGTAGGGAAAAATCTAGTTGAGATTTATTTATGAATATTTTTTAAGTTTTTCTTTAAAGTTTTAAGAAAATCATAGGCTTAAAAGTCCCCCAAAGTTCATCTTAAAAAATATACATAACACCTAACTATTTTAGTAATAAATCTAATAAAGCTATCTGAATACTTTTTATTTAATTTCTTAACCAAAAAATTATTAAAAATCTTTAAAACCCTATCTTTTTCATGAAATCCTCGAATTCATGAAATTACTATCACCGTATAAACGTTGCAATCATTCGACTCAGCCGTCTGTGGAACATTTGTTAACGCATCGGCGTCGCACTTAACACTCATGCAACACCACGCCCCCACGCTATCGCTGCCGCCCATTTTGGCAGTATGCCCATTTTAGGGATTCAGCTATTAAGGTGATTTTAAGCGCGGCCGCGTTTTCCGCGCGATTTGATGGCGCTTTCGGTCGCGTTTGATTGCACGGCCCAAGCAATTAAAGTCGCCTCGTAAAGACGAGGCATAAACACGTTACAGACATGTCAATACATGCATTCATACATGTGGGCTTCTTGCATATCTCTATGTATGTGTGGATGTGTGTGTGTGGCTGTGTGCGTTTCCGTTTCCTGTGTTGTTTGGGGCTTGTGTGTGTGTGTTTGATTTCAATTTTTGGTTCTGGCCTGGGCCACAAAAAATAATAAGCCAAGTCCTCAGATTGGTTTTGGCATAAAATTGAGCTTGACCTCTGACCTCTGATGCCCCCTCTCTCTCTCTCTCTCTCTCTGTCTATCTCTCTGTCTTTCTTTCATTCTG